CCATATTCCAAACATATAAACAAATCTAAAGTGAGATTTGCAATCAAATGTTCTCCCCACAAACACACACACACACACTAGCTTTCGTATTCTGCATCGCAATTATTCCGTTCCTTCATTTCTTCTTTTCTGTGTAGTCCTATTCTATGCACCAAGACATACAACAACAAAAGTTTGTTTATTCTCCCCTTGAGCTAACTAATTTCAGCTACAAGCAACAAATGTTATATAATCTAATCTATACTATCTCCAAGTTTAGCACCTGTTCTCATTCCTAACGAACCTATCTTTAATCATAAATCTTCAATTATTACAAGACTATATTCGCTTCCAGTGGTCCCTCATATTGGTCCAATCTGCATAATTTTTGTGTGAAGGTTGTCCAACAATAGCGCCCTATTATTTCTTTCTCGTTTGATTATTGTACAATCATAACACAGAGTTTTCTAAGTCGTCGTTCCCTCTTGGCTAGGGTTTGATGTGTTTCTAGTTGCATTTCATAGAATCAGCTCCATGCCCAAATATCGCTTGCTTCTTCGCCATCTTTATCTGAAAGTTCCTCCAAAAGTAGGGTTCCAAAAATCAACTGTTTCATGAGTGACAGGGAAGGTGCTCGAAACGGGTACCAGACATAGTCCTCGACTTCTAAGATCTTGCTTGGGTCCTTCAGGATCATTGGATTTATCAGACTTCTGCATGATAAATAAAAAAAAGCTTTGATTGTTGAAAAAGGAAGTTTAATTCAGGCAGAAAACCGACAAGATTCCAACTATTTATTGATATCGATTGTGTGAGTAGGAACAGAAGAAGAGAATTTTGAACCTGGTGGTGCTGTATGGAAGCTCCACTTTTCATGTAAGGAGTGCTTAAAACCTAGAGTTTTAAATGAAAACAAGGGCATATGTTAGAAAAAGCTGAGACTTCGATACATTTTATTATATTGTTTGCATATTGAATTTGCTTCCTTAGTTGCTTTAATAACTACAACTTATATCAGATAAAGAGAAAGAACAATAATTATAGCTTATGGAGCTTACACTGACTTGTTCATGGAGGAACTTGATGTATTCAATAGCTTCAGAGAGCACTGAGGCAGTATCGGTCTGAAATAATAGCAAAACATAATGGACATCAATCAATGCAGCCTTTGTGAATTCAGAAAGAAAATGGTCTCACTATACTACTATGTGAAAGTGGAGAAATTCAGAAGTTCACCTTTCCGAAAGGCGAAACCAATTGTTGCAATGCAGTGATTCTGTCCCCCATCTTCTCTTTCCTAACCTAATGAATAACAAAGGGGATATGTTCTCATCTCTATCAGGCTATGGAAAAAGAATAAAGCGTAAAATTCTGAATTGTCAAAAGGTTTTTGAACTTATGCGTACCTTAAAAGCTGGCAAAGGTGATGGGGTTTCATTACGAGGCCTTTTATTTGATGGTTCACTGCTGCTTTTCTTCACCACTGTGCCCAAGTCCCGAACTTCTGATGTATTCTGTTGAAACATCGTGTATGCAAATTCAACTTAATAAAATCTTAATCAGTTAGTATGGATCGACATCAACAAAAAAGTAGAAACCTTAGTTGTGTGAAGAATTTATCATGCACTACCCTACCAACTTAATCATCTTAGTACCTTTGGTTTTTCATCAAAGTTTGTCGTCGGAAATTTCGTTTGTAACGCTGGGAAAAAGCTCGGTCGAGCATCGTTCATGGGGGCTGTGGAAGCATTCCAAAACGGAGCGTTGTTGGAGAAGTGTAACTGGCTATGAGGTGCTTGTTTTGGAGGTGAACTTCTGAGAAACTGGGGAAATTTAGACCAAGAACTAGAAGGCATGGCTTCAGCAGAGTTCATTCCATAGCTAGATGGATACGAATAATTCATCGTTCTGCTCTCGAAATTCGATTGTTGTTGCTGGTTATCAGATCCTAATAATCCCTGAAACATAGTTGAAGGACTTCCATACATGGCTGAATCCATCTGAAAACTAGTTTGTAAGCCTTGACATGTTATAGTACTGTCGCTTGAGCTGATATGAGAACTGTACTGTGGTTGATCTAATGTTAAACCTCTGTTAATTTGCTTGAACTCGTTCATGGAGGAGTCCTCAGAACTTGCAGAATACATTTTCTGTCTCCACTGTACTTGAGAAGATGATATCCCACCTTCTTGCTGAAAACTTGTGTTCGAGTTTAAGTCTTCTTGAAGCATCGACCGAAAACTACTCTCAGATTTTTCACCCCTACTGTCCAAAACAGAAGAACAAAGAACCCAATTCATGATTCAAACACTTCATGAAGACAAAATAGAAATAAAAAACCGATGCAGTTCTTTTAGGGTTCTTAGGAGAAACAAAGTCATAAGTGCACTTACAGTAGAGCTTGGTTCCAATCCATTCCTTGAGATGAAAGGCCTAAACCAATCAAGTTGGGATCAGGCACTTGCAGCTTCTGGGTATCTTGGAAAACAATTGAGCTCCGAGAATCTGACACGGAATCGATTGATGACGTTGCTTTGATATCCACTATTTCTGTCGGCCATCCAAATCTTACTAAGCTATTTGTTGTCGTAGTTGATGGAGTCGATCCACTTTCAAACCTGCTTCTTGGTGAATCCCACCAGTTTCCACTACCAAGCTGAAATTCATCCGCCATGCCCAGAAACTTCTACCGCTCTACTTCTACCTTCTGGTTTATGATCCCTCTCTCTCTCTCTCTCTCTCTCTCTCTCTGTAACTTGAGATTCTTTACCCTCTGAGACTCTCTTCCAATGTTTCCTTTCCCTTGTCTTAGTGTCATATAAAATGAATGGAAATCGATTCGCTGCATCTCGCTATTTATATTAAGTAGAACCCGTTTGAGTTTACAAACAGAAGAAATGACCAGAATTTGGTTGACTCTACAGGGTGATTAGACGAATGAAAGTTGATTCTCAAATCAAATTCCTTTGCTTGGCCAATTAATTAAGTAAATTAATGATTTTTTAATACCAAACAGAAAAAATTAATGACTTCCTAGAACAGATGTTTTTTCCTGTTTCTCCCTTCTCTTCTTCTTCTGTTTTTTGTCCTTTGTTTGTATTGTAATAAGTGGTTGTTTTAGTAGTAACCAAATAAGCTTTTCCAGCCACTAGTCGAGTCAATATAACAATTACAATACAAGACAAAAGGTTACACGTCATTTAACAAAAACTTAATGCATGATTAAGCTCTCAATAATACTACACCAAAGCTGATAACGCAAGGATTGCCAGTGGGAATTAGTTCATTGGGTTCCTCTAGAGGTTGCAAAAATCAAACAATGTAATTGAGAGCATCTGGATCTAACTTTGATGAGAGCATCGGCATATAATGACAACTTAAAACTTCATTTTTCTCTTTGGTTGTAGTATAATAGGTTCTCTTCGGTTCTTTTATTTCTTCTAGGTGAGTGAATCTTTATCGATAAAAAAAATAGTTCATGCCCTATTTGGTAGAGTGGAAAATAGGATTTGAAGGAAAATGGAAGAAGGGAAAAAAGAATGGAAAGAAAAAGTTTCTATGGTTTGGCGGAGAGGAAAAATATGATGGACAAGAAAGTTGGAAGGATTCTTTTTCTTCTCTGTCCACCAAAATTTTTTCATCCAAATTTGGACAAAAAATTGCAGGAAAAAGAGAGGTTAGGCTATTTATGGTGATTTTACCTTTTTTCCCTTTATTTATTTCTTATCTATCAAATTCATGCATGAAAGTTTCAAGAAAGAAGAAGATAACTTGTAAAGGAGCTAGTCCAGTAAGTATGCTACGGTTAGGGGTGCAACTCGAGCATGTTGGATGGGTTGAGAGATTAACTCTAACCTAATATTAGGTATATAATCTTCAACTCTAACCCTAATCTTACCTCAACCCGAGTACTATTCGACTTTAATTCATGCGGGTTTAAGTTGAATTCGGGCTATTTTCAGATTAAAAATCAAGTTGAATTCGAATTACTTAATTCAAGTTGATAAAAAAGGGAAGGGTGACGAGTGAGAAGGGAAGCTGAGAGTCTGAAACTAAATGAGAGACAAGTGACGAGTGAGAGGGATCTGAGAGTGATGGATGCGCAGGAGTAAAAACTTGAAATGAAGTGAAAGTTTAGACTCTGAAAAGTGAAGACAAATACTAACTCGAGTTAAATAAATTTATATATTTATGTATATTCGAATTTAACACGATTTAATAATCGGGTTCAACTCGATTTTAATATTCGGGTAGAACCCGACAACCTGAGTCTTGCTCGAATTCAATTTGAGTTGGATTTTTTTGGCCAAGCTCAAGCCAAGTATTTAAAATTCTAATTCATGCCATGTTTTTTTGAGGTTGGGCTTTGGTTGAATTCAAGTTCACCTACCCAAGTTGCACCCTTAGCTACTGTCCAACCGAATTCCAATAACCTTTCTCTCACAATATAAATTGTGATCAAAAAAATTATTTTGTTAAAGAAAATACCAAGCGTGTTATATCGAAAAATTTATTTGCNTCAAATGTTCTCCCCACAAACACACACACACACACTAGCTTTCGTATTCTGCATCGCAATTATTCCGTTCCTTCATTTCTTCTTTTCTGTGTAGTCCTATTCTATGCACCAAGACATACAACAACAAAAGTTTGTTTATTCTCCCCTTGAGCTAACTAATTTCAGCTACAAGCAACAAATGTTATATAATCTAATCTATACTATCTCCAAGTTTAGCACCTGTTCTCATTCCTAACGAACCTATCTTTAATCATAAATCTTCAATTATTACAAGACTATATTCGCTTCCAGTGGTCCCTCATATTGGTCCAATCTGCATAATTTTTGTGTGAAGGTTGTCCAACAATAGCGCCCTATTATTTCTTTCTCGTTTGATTATTGTACAATCATAACACAGAGTTTTCTAAGTCGTCGTTCCCTCTTGGCTAGGGTTTGATGTGTTTCTAGTTGCATTTCATAGAATCAGCTCCATGCCCAAATATCGCTTGCTTCTTCGCCATCTTTATCTGAAAGTTCCTCCAAAAGTAGGGTTCCAAAAATCAACTGTTTCATGAGTGACAGGGAAGGTGCTCGAAACGGGTACCAGACATAGTCCTCGACTTCTAAGATCTTGCTTGGGTCCTTCAGGATCATTGGATTTATCAGACTTCTGCATGATAAATAAAAAAAAAGCTTTGATTGTTGAAAAAGGAAGTTTAATTCAGGCAGTAAACCGACAAGATTCCAACTATTTACTGATATCGATTGTGTGAGTAGGAACAGAAGAAGAGAATTTTGAACCTGGTGGTGCTNAGCTTTGATTGTTGAAAAAGGAAGTTTAATTCAGGCAGAAAACCGACAAGATTCCAACTATTTATTGATATCGATTGTGTGAGTAGGAACAGAAGAAGAGAATTTTGAACCTGGTGGTGCTGTATGGAAGCTCCACTTTTCATGTAAGGAGTGCTTAAAACCTAGAGTTTTAAATGAAAACAAGGGCATATGTTAGAAAAAGCTGAGACTTCGATACATTTTATTATATTGTTTGCATATTGAATTTGCTTCCTTAGTTGCTTTAATAACTACAACTTATATCAGATAAAGAGAAAGAACAATAATTATAGCTTATGGAGCTTACACTGACTTGTTCATGGAGGAACTTGATGTATTCAATAGCTTCAGAGAGCACTGAGGCAGTATCGGTCTGAAATAATAGCAAAACATAATGGACATCAATCAATGCAGCCTTTGTGAATTCAGAAAGAAAATGGTCTCACTATACTACTATGTGAAAGTGGAGAAATTCAGAAGTTCACCTTTCCGAAAGGCGAAACCAATTGTTGCAATGCAGTGATTCTGTCCCCCATCTTCTCTTTCCTAACCTAATGAATAACAAAGGGGATATGTTCTCATCTCTATCAGGCTATGGAAAAAGAATAAAGCGTAAAATTCTGAATTGTCAAAAGGTTTTTGAACTTATGCGTACCTTAAAAGCTGGCAAAGGTGATGGGGTTTCATTACGAGGCCTTTTATTTGATGGTTCACTGCTGCTTTTCTTCACCACTGTGCCCAAGTCCCGAACTTCTGATGTATTCTGTTGAAACATCGTGTATGCAAATTCAACTTAATAAAATCTTAATCAGTTAGTATGGATCGACATCAACAAAAAAGTAGAAACCTTAGTTGTGTGAAGAATTTATCATGCACTACCCTACCAACTTAATCATCTTAGTACCTTTGGTTTTTCATCAAAGTTTGTCGTCGGAAATTTCGTTTGTAACGATGGGAAAAAGCTCGGTCGAGCATCGTTCATGGGGGCTGTGGAAGCATTCCAAAACGGAGCGTTGTTGGAGAAGTGTAACTGGCTATGAGGTGCTTGTTTTGGAGGTGAACTTCTGAGAAACTGGGGAAATTTAGACCAAGAACTAGAAGGCATGGCTTCAGCAGAGTTCATTCCATAGCTAGATGGATACGAATAATTCATCGTTCTGCTCTCGAAATTCGATTGTTGTTGCTGGTTATCAGATCCTAATAATCCCTGAAACATAGTTGAAGGACTTCCATACATGGCTGAATCCATCTGAAAACTAGTTTGTAAGCCTTGACATGTTATAGTACTGTCGCTTGAGCTGATATGAGAACTGTACTGTGGTTGATCTAATGTTAAACCTCTGTTAATTTGCTTGAACTCGTTCATGGAGGAGTCCTCAGAACTTGCAGAATACATTTTCTGTCTCCACTGTACTTGAGAAGATGATATCCCACCTTCTTGCTGAAAACTTGTGTTCGAGTTTAAGTCTTCTTGAAGCATCGACCGAAAACTACTCTCAGATTTTTCACCCCTACTGTCCAAAACAGAAGAACAAAGAACCCAATTCATGATTCAAACACTTCATGAAGACAAAATAGAAATAAAAAACCGATGCAGTTCTTTTAGGGTTCTTAGGAGAAACAAAGTCATAAGTGCACTTACAGTAGAGCTTGGTTCCAATCCATTCCTTGAGATGAAAGGCCTAAACCAATCAAGTTGGGATCAGGCACTTGCAGCTTCTGGGTATCTTGGAAAACAATTGAGCTCCGAGAATCTGACACGGAATCGATTGATGACGTTGCTTTGATATCCACTATTTCTGTCGGCCATCCAAATCTTACTAAGCTATTTGTTGTCGTAGTTGATGGAGTCGATCCACTTTCAAACCTGCTTCTTGGTGAATCCCACCAGTTTCCACTACCAAGCTGAAATTCATCCGCCATGCCCAGAAACTTCTACCGCTCTACTTCTACCTTCTGGTTTATGATCCCTCTCTCTCTCTCTCTCTCTCTCTCTCTCTGTAACTTGAGATTCTTTACCCTCTGAGANTGCCAAGCTGAAATTCATCCGCCATGCCCAGAAACTTCTACCGCTCTACTTCTACCTTCTGGTTTATGATCCCTCTCTCTCCCTCTCTCTCTCTCTCTCTCTCTCTCTCTGTAACTTGAGATTCTTTACCCTCTGAGACTCTCTTCCAATGTTTCCTTTCCCTTGTCTTAGTGTCATATAAAATGAATGGAAATCGATTCGCTGCATCTCGCTATTTATATTAAGNGACTCTCTTCCAATGTTTCCTTTCCCTTGTCTTAGTGTCATATAAAATGAATGGAAATCGATTCGCTGCATCTCGCTATTTATATTAAGTAGAACCCGTTTGAGTTTACAAACAGAAGAAATGACCAGAATTTGGTTGACTCTACAGGGTGATTAGACGAATTAAAGTTGATTCTCAAATCAAATTCCTTTGCTTGGCCAATTAATTAAGTAAATTAATGATTTTTTAATACCAAACAGAAAAAATTAATGACTTCCTAGAACAGATGTTTTTTCCTGTTTCTCCCTTCTCTTCTTCTTCTGTTTTTTGTCCTTTGTTTGTATTGTAATAAGTGGTTGTTTTAGTAGTAACCAAATAAGCTTTTCCAGCCACTAGTCGAGTCAATATAACAATTACAATACAAGACAAAAGGTTACACGTCATTTAACAAAAACTTAATGCATGATTAAGCTCTCAATAATACTACACCAAAGCTGATAACGCAAGGATTGCCAGTGGGAATTAGTTCATTGGGTTCCTCTAGAGGTTGCAAAAATCAAACAATGTAATTGAGAGCATCTGGATCTAACTTTGATGAGAGCATCGGCATATAATGACAACTTAAAACTTCATTTTTCTCTTTGGTTGTAGTATAATAGGTTCTCTTCGGTTCTTTTATTTCTTCTAGGTGAGTGAATCTTTATCGATAAAAAAAATAGTTCATGCCCTATTTGGTAGAGTGGAAAATAGGATTTGAAGGAAAATGNAATCTTTATCGATAAAAAAAATAGTTCATGCCCTATTTGGTAGAGTGGAAAATAGGATTTGAAGGAAAATGAAAGAAGGGAAAAAAGAATGGAAAGAAAAAGTTTCTATGGTTTGGCTGAGAGGAAAAATATGATGGAAAAGAAAGTTGGAAGGATTCTTTTTCTTCTCTGTCCACCAAAATTTTTTCGTCCAAATTTGGACAAAATATTGCAGGAAAAAGAGAGGTTAGGCTATTTATGGTGATTTTACTTTTTTTTCCCTTTATTTATTTCTTATCTATCAAATTCATGCATGAAAGTTTCAAGAAAGAAGAAGATAACTTGTAAAGGAGCTAGTCCAGTAAGTATGCAACGGTTAGGGGTGCAACTCGAGCAGGTTGGATGGATTGAGAGATTAACTCTAACCTAATATTAGGTATATAATCTTCAACTCTAATCCTAATCTTACCTCAACCCGAGTACTATTCGACTTTAATTCATGCGGGTTTAAGTTGAATTCGGACTATTTTCAGATTAAAAATCAAGTTGAATTCGAATTACTTAATTCAAGTTGATAAAAAAGGGAAGGGTGACGAGTGAGAAGGGAAGCTGAGAGTCTGAAACCAAATGAGAGACAAGTGACGAGTGAGAGGGATCTGAGAGTGATGGATGCGCAGGGGTAAAAACTTGAAATGAAGTGAAAGTTTAGACTCTGAAAAGNCCAAATGAGAGACAAGTGACGAGTGAGAGGGATCTGAGAGTGATGGATGCGCAGGGGTAAAAACTTGAAATGAAGTGAAAGTTTAGACTCTGAAAAGTGAAAACAAATACTAACTCGAGTTAAATAAATTTATATATTTATGTATATTCGGATTTAACACGATTTAATAATCGGGTTCAACTCGATTTTAATATTCGGGTAGAACCCGACAACCCGAGTCTTGCTCGAATTCAATTTGAGTTGGATTTTTTTGGCCAAGCTCAAGCCAAGTATTAAAATTTCTAATTCATGCCATGTTTTTTTGAGGTTGGGCTTTGGTTGAATTCAAGTTCACCTACCCAAGTTGCACCCTCAGCTACTGTCCAACCGAATTCCAATAACCTTTCTCTCACAATATAAATTGTGATCNTACCCAAGTTGCACCCTTAGCTACTGTCCAACCGAATTCCAATAACCTTTCTCTCACAATATAAATTGTGATCAAAAAAATTATTTTGTTAAAGAAAATACCAAGCGTGTTATATCGAAAAATTTATTTGCTATAAAAAATTTGTTTTTCATATGTAATAGTATAGTGGTAAATTAAGTCTATACATATTTTCTTTCCTTTTATTTTTCCTCTAATACAAAACAATGAAAAATTAATCTCTCTAACTTTCTATCTATCATACCAAATAAAAAAAAAAGAAAGTGTTTTTTCTTTCTCAAATGATGAAAAGCCTAACTCTCCTATTTTTTCATCCGTCCAACTTTTTCTTACTCCTACCAAACAGACGATCAATGTATGTGACTCTCAGCATTGTGAGAGTTTTATTGAGTAAATTCAAAATTTATGGAGCTTTCTCATATATTTCAGAAAATAACATCGATGTATGTATTTTTTAGTCATGAAGCTAATAAAATGCTAAAGAGAAATTGCCAATGGATAGATTTCACATAAGCCATCATCTAAAGCACATACTTGGAGCTCCAAGGTAGTTGACATTGAACTTGTGCATCACAAAACTGAAACGAGGGGGATTACCTTTGTCTTTAATCATGCAACTTGTTGTGATAGCAACAGCCATTTTGAAAGGACAACCACCCCATTATCAAACAAACGCACATCTTTATTGGCAGATGTCTCAGGTTTAGCTTTGGCTGTATGTGGGTGAATGTTAATTACCAACTTTTTCACTGGAGTTTCTACAATTTAAAGTATCTGCCAAATTCGTCAACGTTGAATAAATGCAAACGTCATACAGTATAGTGAACAACTAAGAACACTAATACAAGATTTATATGGTTCGATAGAAATTTTATCTATGTCCTCTAGAGCGGTTGTTTTGTTATATTAGAATCCCGCTAATGGTTACAATGTATAACCATAATTTTGGTTTACCCAAAAAACTTATTTCCAATAAACTCTTATACTAAATATGGATTGAAATTGGATATCCTCAATCGCTACGTTATGTTGTGCTCAAACTTCATTTCGCTCTCTTTTGTCCGCTAGTCCATTGTCATTTAAGTTTAGTGAATATGAGTCGCCCACTATTTTTAATCGCTTTAAATCAGCAATCAATTTAAGATCACATAGATCTTAGTATCTTCACACTCGGATGGATTGATTTTTAAATCAAACACAACCCATCTATTCATTAGCGGAGGTGTAGGAAGCACCCAAACAATACAAAGAGAGAACTGCATGAAGGGGTTAAAGAGAAACCATCCAAGAAAGGGGTATGAGAGCACACACCATCTTTAACGAGGTTTGATCTCGTGACCATTTGGGAATGTCATTGATGGTCATTAGAATAAAGCCGAATTGGTTAGAACTACAATATGCTACTTTTATGATTGAACCAAGAGTGACATTTAGCCTGCAAACTTACTAAGAGCATATGTAATAGTATTCTCTATTTTAGGAAGTTTTTTTTTTTTTTTTCTGAAATAGAGAATTTTATTTCTTTCTTAATTTTTTTCGATAATCGATCATTCACCGTTGAAGAAGGATCTTATTAATATAAGATAAAAACAATTGAAATTTACTTTTGTGTGGTGGAAGCATTACCGAATAAATTTGTTAAGGAAATAAGAAAAATCACATTCATGTGTGGATTATATTACATAAAAATATTTATTTAGATTGTTAATATCCTAATCAGTCAATTTCACTTTTCCTTTACATTTATATTTTAAACACGAAAAAAGAGGGACAATTTTCAGTGGGGGAGGAGGCGGCAGGTGGGTGGTGGTGGGCTGAGGAGGACGGTGGTGGAGAACTCTAATCGGTGACGTCATGGTGACTTTTGACCTTTCGGGTTTTGAAAAAAATAGAAGTCAGCGAAAGGGGTCCACACGGCATGCGCGCATGCGGGTACGCATGGGTCCCAACTCTTTCTCCTATGAGTCAGAGCCCGAAAACGATCCTTTATTTTTTACATTCCTCTTCTAATCTTTTAATCATTTCAATAATTCAATTTGCTCTAATTAGCTTACCTACCCATTTGGATATTCATTCCTATCCTCCCTCTCAATTTTATCCCTTCTTTTATTTTTTTTTCTGTGATAATGGATTGTTTAAAATTTGGGGAAATCTTATAGCAAATTACAATTAAATAGAGTTATAAGATAAGAAAAATATTAAATAATTCTATGCTCCACGTAAATTATACATGAAAATAGATTATACAAATGATATGATTATTTGTTAGGCCTACGATTTATTTATTTTAATTGTATCTAAATTATTTAAAACACTATTTTCATAGTTGATCTTAGGATGCATTTAGGTGTATATCTTCCAAACTTCAAAAGATTTTTATTCTTTTGAGAGAGAGAGAGAGAGAGAGAGAGAGAGAGAGAGAGGGGGGGGGGAACGGTACATCAAATTACTCCAAACACTTATTATTCCTTGGATAATTGAAAACCTTTGGTTCAGACTTATAAAATTGATATAATTTATTGACATAATAATGTGTCAAATGATAAAATTTTAATGAAAAAGTTTAATAATTATCTTCACAATAGTATTATTAGATCATGTCAGTGTCGTATCATTAGGTCTCAATAACATTACCCTAAAAACATAGCAATCGAAAAAAGTTGGTTGGGTCACGTCTAAAATGGACACCATTGATATAATTTGCTGAAATCAGCTGCCTTTGTTGTACATGTGCCCTGTTGTTAAGTGGGATTTGGTCATGGTCCTTAAAAGTCTAGTCGTCCTTTTTGTCTGAA